GTAGACCCGCCTTTCCGGCCCTTCCCGGGCAGCATCTGATGTTGGTCCGGGAAGTAACTTTGGGAAATAGGTGCCATCATGCGTGTTACAGACACGTATGTAGGAACATAAGTCATGTCCGCTGGCGAGTTGATGCTAAAAGATGGTGGCGTCCGAGGGGGGAGGGGGCTGGACGTTTAGTGATGATGGGGGCGTCCCTCTGGGAGCAGGAAGTGCCTAAGGCCAGACGCGCACACTCTGGGCCGCAGGTGCCTCTGCTTCTATTTCTCACGCCCTGGTCGGTTGGTGGTTGGTTGGTTGGTGGTTGGTCCGTTGGTGGTTGGTCGGTCGTTTGGTGGTCGGTGGTCAGTCGGCGAGGACGCCCTGGAGGCAGCTCTGGGAAGGGCCCTTGCCAGGGAGCGGGCCGTGGGGCGGGGGTGGGGCGGGCCCTGGGAAAGCTCTGGTCCTGGGCAGATTCGCTGAGTGTGGCTTCACCTGGAAGCAGTCCCTGTGCTGGCGAGTGAGCGTACAGCAGGCGCGGCGGTCGCACTGCTTTGCGATGGCTGCTGGCGTCTCACAGAGAGCGGCTTCCGCCGGCGACACTCCGACTCCAGAGATGCCATTTGTGTTATTTGGCAAAATGACCATTTTCATCCCCCTCTACGAGCGCAGGGTTATTTATTTACTTGAATATATGCTTTTATTGATTTTAGAGAGAGGAAGGGGGAGGGACAGAGAGAAGCGTCAATGATGAGAGGGAATCACAGATCGGCCGCCTCCTGCACGCCCCGCACTGGGGGTCGAGCCCACAAACCAGGCCCGTGTCCCGACCAGGGATCAAACCAGGACCTCCTGGTTCCTAGGCTGACGGTCACCCCTGAGCCCCGCCGGCCGGGCGAGCGCAGATTCTTTTTGATTTTGAACGTGAGCCCTGAACCCTAACGGTCGCTCTCACTTCAGATAAAGAACCAGCGATGCCCCCGAGAGGAGTCAGGATGGGAGTGGCTGCCACCGCCGAGGAGCTGGACGCCGTCGCTAAGGTATGTGGCCGGACAGGGGGGTCTTGTCCGAGGCGAGGACCGCGAGGAGGGGCCGCAGGCCTCGCTGCCCGGGGGG